TTTGAATTTTTGTATGATAATTTGGGTAACAACTAAGGCTTAAATTGGTGAAAAGATTCTTAATTGCCAATTAGGTGCCTGTTTGAACATAGTCTAACGGCGGTTGCTGAAAAGTGTATTGTCTTTATAATTGTCTGGACGCCTACTGTACAGAACAATTTGACAATTAATACATGTTCTCAATTGTCTTGTCTCAAATTGTCTTATGTAAGCGCAGCGTAAGTATTATACATGCTCAGATTCTATAAATTCCGAAATTATCCTTTTTTAATCGCTTGCCCTGTTTGGATCAAATCGATTGATTAACAAAATTTTTTCTTTGGAATTTGAGCATGCATAATACTTAAATTACATATAATCAATGTATTCTCATAGTTTTGAGCATTTTAATTAATCTTAGTATATTGACCTCAAAAGAGAATAACTCATTTTCTTACGTGTAATTGCTATGTGAAAAATAAACACTCGATGCGCAGCCTCTTGGAATTATCGTAGAGAGGGGAGATTCATGGAGGATGCTATAGTAATGCAATTTTTATTTTATTTTTTTGACGTGACCTAATATATAAGTAGTATATATATATTTTTGGCGAAGATGTTACGGGTTTCATCCTTATAGAAACAAATTGAGTTTATTCATTATATGGAAGCAAATGCGACACTAAAAATTTGAAGTTTATTATACTATAATTGAATGAGCTCAAAAAATACAAATACATATTCAAAATCTTTCTAAGAAATAAATTTAAAAGCTCGAAGTTTGTACGAAAGTTTGTTGATTTTTTTAAATATTACACAAAGTTTGAAACTTGGTTTTACATGGTTTTTGTTAGACAATGGGGTATATTAAAAACAAAAAATAACTAAAATTAAATAACAAGAAACAAACTTGTCAATATGGTGTGCGGATGTATGTTTGTACATATACGTCGTAATATGTACGTGGTTTGTTTAGAGTTCAGTGTCTAGATTAGCGTTATGTTGCCTGTTTTTTTAAGCTAAGACTTGCTTTTCTATTGCCTGCTTTGTGACTTATGATTATATGCTAAAATGCAATGACCTGTGTAAACATACACTTAGACAAATAACTATAGCACTTTTGGTTTGGCTAGTAAAGACTTTGCCAGTTGTGTACCGCTAATATCTATGTGGAGCACCCTGTTGCTTAGCACCAACAGCCCTGCATTCATATTCACCTACGCTACAACATCATACATTCGTTTAAGTATAATTTCGTATTTTTTACTCTTTTCATTTGTCTAGTTTGCATATTCCCTTTATTCCTACATTGTAACTTTTTAGAACATAAACCTAACTGTAGTCCGTTTTCCTTTTATCCTTACGAAACGATGAGCTACATGCAAATCAATTTTAATTTTGTCATGACACTCGGGATTGGTCTTACGCTTTGCTATACACGCGTCTTAACTACTGCTCTAATTTGGTGAAACAATTTTGAAGTTTAAATAAAGAATTTATACATTTGCTAAATTTGAACGCCAAAGCGTTTTTATTTTGGTGGAAAGCTAGCCCAAGCTACAGCTACGGCGATACGCATAAAACAATTAGCTAAAAACTGGTGACCCCGTACAAAGTTTGAAGGTCGGATGTGAGACTCCGTTATAACGCTATTAAACACAGTTATAAAATCACGCGATAGAAAATTTAACTGCTAATATGATCACCAATTCCGATAGCGGAATTTCATCAGAACCGACGAATGCTACACCGTTTCAGAATCCCCGTTATTCCGAGGGGATGCTACCGACACTCGAGAGACAAGCTGCCGCTGTTTATGCTCGCTTACCAATCCCCACTATGCCCAGCAATAATATCGAGGCATGGTTCACTTCTATGGATTTTTGGTTCACCGCTTCTGGGATTATCTCCGACAAATAAAAGGCAGCAACCGTGTTTGCAGCACTCGATTCCACAGTAATTGGCCAATAATCGGGGGTGATCGCATCAATGCCGCAACAGGATCGGTTTGAGTACATCAAATCGAAAATAATCGAACATTTCGCCGATAGCGAACAAGAGGCGCTTAAATCGACTTCTTTCCGAGCTTCCACTCGGAGATGAAGAGACCGCCATAACGACGCCTTTTGGTTTGTATGAGTTTCAATTTATGACTTTGGGGCTGTGCAACGCAGCACAGACGTTCCAGCGCCTAACAGACGAAGTGCTGCGGGGCCTCGACTTTGTTTTCCCATATATCGATGATATTTGCGTAGCTTCGTCATCGATCGAGCAACATCGGCAACAGTTACGTTTACTGTTGAAGCGATTACAGAAAAATAATCTGACAGTAAATATTTGTAAGTGCGTATTCGGGAAAACGGAAATTAAGTTCCTGGGTCATCTCGCCGATTCACAAGGAATCGAGCCTCTTCCGGAAAAAGTTGCATCGCTGTTAAGTTTTCCTAAACCAACAGTAGCCAAGAACTTGAAACGTTTTATAGCCATGCTGAATTTTTATCGGAAATATCTTCCCCGTGCCGTTGACTATCAGTCTAAACTCCAGAAACTGATCGAGGGAAACAAAAGAAACGACCTTACACCACTTGTTTGGAATACCGAAGCCAAAGCAGCATTTCAGCGCTGTAAAAAAGAACTTGCAAACGCTACCTTGCTTTTTCATCCCTCAGCAAACGCAGAGTTGTCTCTGCACACAGACGCCTCGCATTTTGCCGTGTGTGCTGCTTTGCATCAAGTAGTCGACGGCGCATTCCAACCCCTCGAAAAAGCTAACACCGGCCCAGAGTAAGTATAGTACGTATGACCGAGAGCTGACCGCAATGTTTCAAGCGGTTTTACACTTTCGGTACATGATTGAAGGACGACGTTGCCATCTACTTACGGAGCATGGCCCTCTTGTTTTCGCCTTCAAGCAGAAGCTAGAAAAAACTGTCCCTCGCCGTGCATGCCAACTTGATTTCATTGGACAGTTTACACGGACATAAGGCACATATCGGGAGAAGCCAACGTCACTGCAGATTTGCTTTCACGAATACAGTCACTGGATCAAATCATCGATTATCGTGCAATTGCACACGCACAACAAGGAACGAACGTCGAGGTAATTTGCGACACATCGACACCGAAAATACGCCCGTATATTCCGAAAGAATTCCGCAACCACATCGTGTCTAAAATACACAACTTGTCCCATCCTAGAGTACGCGCCACTACAAAGTTGGTCACTGCACGCTTTGTTTGGAAAGGCATAAAAAAGCACACCTCGGAAATTGTGAAAAGGTGCGAAGCATGTCAATGATCAAAAGTTCATCGCCACACGAAATCTCCTCTGGTTAAATACGAACTACCTAAAGGGAGATTTACACACATTAACATCGATATCGTTGGCCAATTTCCATTATGTGAAGGCCAGCGATATTGCCTAACGATCATCGACCGCTTTACACGTTGGCCGGAAGCAGTTCCCATTCCCGATATGACTGCCGAAACTGTCGTCAAATCATTAACGACGCACTGGATATCGAGATTCGGTGTTCCCGAACGCATAACATCAGACCGTGGCCGGCAGTTTGAGTCTGCAATATTTCAGGAACTTATTTCTTTGATAGGAACGACTCATCTGCGAACTACGTCGTATCATCCCCAATCCAACGGCATAATCGAACGATGGCACCGATGTCTAAAGTCAGCAATTCTTTACCACGACTCCAGAAAGTGGATACATTATCTCCCTTCGATCCTACTTGGCTTTGGAGTAGTTTTCAAACCTGGCGAATTTTTCCACCCGACCACACCCGCTGAACTGACTAGCGATACAGTAACGGAATTTCGAAAGTTAATGGATAAACTACGCCCGACTGACACCGCACACCATTCGCCTCCAACGACTTTCGTTTCTCAAAAGCTACAGTCAGCAACACATGTTTTTATCAGGAATGACTCAGTGCGCCCCGCGCTGACTAATCCTTACGACGGCCCATACGCAGTAGCACGTAAAATTTCGAAATATTTCGCAGTCGTCATCCGAGGTCGGCCAAGCAACATAAGTCTGGATAGGCTTAAACCAGCATTTTTAACAAGGTCCGATATCGAAGCGTCACCAAACGTAATCCAGCCACACTCAGATGAGCACAACAACAACGCATTGACGAAACCTACAACAAGCGGTAGCCAAAAGCTGCATTCAGATGAGCACAACAACAACGCATTGACGAAACCTACAACAAGCGGTAGCCAAAAGCCGCACTCAGATGAGCAAAACAACGCATCGACGAAACCTACATAAAGCGGTAGCCAAGAGCTGCAGGCAGATGGGGAAAACCACAATGCATCGACGAAATTTACGCGTGTAGGTCGCCGAGTAAAATTCCCCAGTCGTTACATGTAGCTTTCGTCTGGAGGGGGAATTATGTGGAGCACCCTGTTGCTTAGTACCAACAGCCCTGCATTCATATTCACCTACGCTACAATATCATACATTCGTTCAAGTATCATTTCGTATTTTTTACTCTTTTCATTTGTCTAGTTTGCATATTCCCTTTATTTCTACATTTAACTTTTTAGAACATAAACCTAACTGTAGTCCGTTTTCCTTTTATCCTAACGAAACGGTAAGCTACATGCAAATCATTTTTAATTTTGTCATGACACTCGAGAATTACGCTTTGCAATGCACGCGTCTTAACTACTGCTCTAAATTGTTGAAACAATTTTAAAGTTTAAATAAAGAATTTATACATTTGCTAAATTTGATCGCCCAAGCGTTTTTATTTCGGTAGAAAGCTAGCCCAAACTACAGTTACGGCGATGCGCATAAAACAATTAGCTAAATCTATGTAAAAGACAATCACTTCCAATTGTTCTGTCACATGTTGTATAAGCATACAGAAAATACCAACAAATTTGGTTTGCTATCTTTTGGGAACCATTGTGAAAACAATGGAAGGTTAATTTTTACTCAAGTTTTGTTTGACAAATAACTATAGCGCTTAGTCTCATTTTTATTTATTTATTTTTTTCAGCGTGAAAAACTTACCGAGCTTGAAGAACTTTGGCGTACACAAATTAATGCTGCCATTATCCGAGACCTAAACACATTACGAGCTCAAATTCGATTTAAACCGAATGGCTTCATGAACTACTATACATACCTCAAAGTCTTGGATACATCTATATATACTGATATATTGATAAAAGAGATTTATAAATTGGCGGAAGGATCGGAAACTTTTAGTCCAACAGTAGGACAACTTTATAGAGAACTAGGCCAGAAAGTACAGCAAAGGTAAGAAAATTATTGTGGTACTAATTTTAAGCTATTTTTAAAAGTATTTATTCATTATGATAATACTATTGTGCTTATGAACATATTTATTGTCTTTTGGGTGGAAGATTCGTATATTTCTGCAAAAGTATGCAACATTGCGTTTTGTAAATTTACTGAATAAATCCCTAATGGGTTTATATATTGGGCCATGAGAGCCAGAGGAGCATATCTAACAAAAATGTGTTCACTAATACAACTATTAAAGAAGGATATATGTATAAATAATAAATACGGTCTGTTACTGAAAAGTTCATTGCACCTACGGGGTGCTACCTATTACTTATAGTAAAATAAATCTAAAAGAACATGCCTCGGGCGCTTACCGTTTCGATTCTAGTAATGCATTTTAGCTGTACTTCAATTTAATTAGGCTATTCTGGCTCTCGAGGCCTCATATACCAAGGTATACCAAGCATCTCAAATATTTACTTTTTCAATTCTTTAGATATCAAGTTGAGATGAAAAAGAAAAATGGGATATTGGAAAAAATTGGAGAAATATACAGTTCATATTGTGATTTATGGGAAGAGGCGAGTACAAACGACAATCCTCGGCAAATGTGGCAAAGACTTGTTCATGAGCAACGTGCTAGTGGACCGAGTATAGATGTTAAATATGTTAGTTGGCCTGTCAATGTACAGTCAGGAGTTGGTCGTTTTCTTTATAATATTTTAATGCGTGATATAAAAATAGATGCGCACATCATGCGACAAAAAGGAAAGAGTAAACAACAAAATGTTTTACCCGCTTTTTATACGCTTTTTCGAAACCAAGGACGCCTGGTAAAAGAGGAAGTAAAACCTCATCCAGTGTTGGCAAGGTATGTGTCTTTAAACTTTATTAAAGTTTTGATATAAAACATCTGCTTAATGTTCTTCATTTAAATAGATTGTTGCGTACCTCTCGTCAGCAGACATTAACATTTGATTCAAACCTTGTTCCAATGCTTTGCCCTCCGCAACCCTGGAGTACGCCAAATAATGGCGGCTATTTATTACATAAATCGGATCTGATCCGTTTGCCGCACCAGGTAAAGCTGTATACATATATCAAATACATATGAATGTAGATCAGAAACTAATTTAAATTTTCAATATATAGGCAGTACAGCAATGGGAACGTATAAACTCTGTCATCCCGCAACACATCTATCCAGCACTTGATTCTTTGAATCAACTGTCGAGTGTAGGTTGGCGCGTTAACACCGAAGTATGTACATTATTTCAAATACTTATGTATATTGCTCTCTTCGGATAGTGGGAAACACATTCATAGGTTCAGGGCTTTACAAAAGTTCGAAAGCAATTTCCCTAGACGTGATGAAGTAGATTTTTAATAAAAAAACCTTATGTTCCAACAAACGATTTAAAAGACTTCAAAATTCAAGAAAATAATTAGTACGATGATTGGCTTCAAAATAATACCAATCTATTTGCATATCTCAAACACACCGAGCTGTTGAGGATTTTAGGTTTCACAAGAATGAATGCAAAATCGGCACATGTGGGATGACTCGCAACAATTCACAGTGCCAAAATCTGTGTACATCAACACCGTAGCCGATCGGTTTCAATAGATATAAGACTTTGACGGATGACGTTAGTTAATAAAAAGTACGTAGGTAAAAAAACTGCCTACCCGAAAAAGGTAATAATGCTCCCTATATATTAGTTGTAGTCGTTGGAACGGCCTATTTACCCCTCCTAGATCGGTTTGTCCCTCAATCGTTCAAGCTGAGCCAACAGAAGGCGCAGGAGGCATGCCGCTCCGACGGGGTGGGACCAGAGAGTGGGGCATTAGTTGAGTTGGGTTTTGCGGGTATGTGAAGAGGTGTTTTGAGTCGTGAGAAGACTGCCCACATGCCGGGCATACATTAGTATATAAATGCACAGGTATGACAGAAACAAGATACACCTCGATCTAAAAGGACTTCGTATCTCTTAAGATTCCCTAATGAATCCCAAAAGGGCGCTAGAATTTGAATTCCAAACCTGGTATCTTCCCAACAATGTCTGGGTGAAGTTGCTTTTTATGGAAGTAGTTGATGGATAGTCTAAATTGCAGCTCCCTCGTGGATGCTGCTTCTTGATTAAATATATGGACATGGGCGTAGCCAGGTAGGGGCAGGGGGGTGCTGGAGCCCCCACCTAACTTTTAAACTTTCCTTATATATATATAAAATAGCACCCTGAAATGCCAGCTTAATAGGGTCGAGCGAAGAGCTGCACGTGTAACAGCGCTAGATCATCTGCGTATCCCTCACATAGTCGTCTACTGCAAGTGTCCAGAGCAGTTACTTTATGGTTTTGGGAATGAAGGAAGTTAGGCTGATAGGTCTTTATGATTTAGCTAAATCAAGGGGCCTGTTTCCCCACTTTGGGGATAAATAATACGGAAACATTCCTCCGAGCGTACGGTATGTATACCCAGCAATAACTAGCCCTAAATGGACTAATGTTGTCCTCGAAACTCCTTTGTAGGAGTGCTGGGAAAATCTCATCAAACCTCGCTGCTTTGTACGGTTGAAAAGACTCATCCGCCCACCGACTTGTGTCAAAGATAGAGCCAGATCTTCTATGACTACTTACTATACGAAACCTGTGTTCATGCTCCACCGTAAAGCCTGGGAAATTTACATGAAGTAGGTGATTCAGTATCTCGTTCTTGTTATTCGCGAAGGGGCCATCCTACTTTCTAAGGAGATCTACCCAGAGACCCTAAATAACTGATATGATTTCTTTTGGAGGTGGAAAACGTTGGCCGTAGGACACTAAACAAAATGTTTATGTTACTTTATAAGAGTTATTCCCAAAACTAAAATTTTTTCGTTGGTCATAACTTTTATTTTCCACTTTTTTGGTTTTACGTCGCTCAGTGAGAGTTATTTTCAAGACAAACTGTTTTCCGATGCTCATAATTTTTATTTTCGACGTTTTTGTTTTTACTTTGCCTGGTAAGAGTTATTCCTACGACAAAATTTTTCCCGTTGCCCATAATTTTAATTTTCGACTTTTTTCTTTTTACGTTGCATGATAAGAGCAATTATCAATGAAATTTTTTTTTCGTTGCTCGTAACTTATATTTTCGACTTTTGTTTCTTCACGTTGCTTAGTAAGATTTATTCTCAATGAAAACTTTTTTTCGTTGTTCGTAACTTTTATTTTGAAGTTTTTTGGTTATGTGTTGTAGTAATGAAGTACATATATATGAGGCATTCTTTTTCGTATCGGACATCAAATTTGGTGTCACACTTTCTATGTGCTTAAAATTTTTTTTATGAGTTCTACACATGAAATAAGCTAATACGTATTCGAGGAATTTTTTTTCTTTCTTTTTTTTCATCGCAGATATGATCTGTCAAACTTTGGATTTTTTCGTAATTCTGACCAATCACGTACTTTTTCAAATCGTTATATCCATTAGCGCACACAAGGGGTGGGTTTTGGGGTTCAAACCCCCCCCTAAAGCTAATAACTTCAAATACGAACTGTATCTTAAAGCTAAGAATCCAGCCCTCAAGAAAAATCACAAGAAATATTTTTTATTATTTCTGTTGCTTGAAAAAGAACTTTCCTTTCGCTGTAAATTTTCTTGAAGAAATAAATATACGAGCATTTTTCTTGAGAGCTGCAAACTGATTTAAGAAATTTTGATAAAGGATTTAAGAAATTTCTTGTGCGTCATTTTATGTACATATATGAATTTTTCGCTTTTCTTGAGAGCTATTAAAAGTTTAAAAAGCACCATCTCCATCGAAAACCAGCAGCAGGATTCCAGCATTTTCTATAGCTGATTTTGATCGCCAAAAATCTCCAAAAGAATAGCAGGAACGCCTAACAACACGCAACATTTAGTTACATGCCAGACTTGGCCGATTAGTTACATATTAGTAATATAAAGAGAAATAAGCCTGCAAAAATGTAGGTGGCAACAAAATCAAGTAATTTCTAATGCAAATTCGGTGCCGTGCAATAATGTCAATTTACACAAATTCTCTGCTGTAAGGAAGTTAATGTCAATGACATTAGTATACAGGCCAAAATTTAAATAATGGCAATTGACATTAAGGCACTTTGGAATTGATTCTCCCTCTAAAAGTGAAGTATGTAACGGTAGAAAAATAAATTTTGTTATTTATACTTAAATTCTAACTTACTTAATACTAACCACCCAAACCTAAAAAAAAAAACGTATTTTAGTATAGTAACTATACGATGATTATAGTCGACATCTCTACCTACTCGGCTACGGCAGTCAAAAGCTTTTTTGTTTTTAAATTTATATTTTTCATATGTGCCAATGAAATCAGTTCCACTCATGTGGAAACCAGGTCCCCTCATGTGGAAATCGTAGAGTTTTTAATTTTATAAATATTTACCTTGTTTATACCGACACATAAAGCGCTTTGACCCAGTTCCCTGTGATTCAAAACGAAGGCATAAACCAACTTTCAACACGCTCAGAAATTCGAAAGTGTATTCACTCGAATTTGTTTTCAAATCGCTTTTTTATTTCTCACATCGGTTAGAAAACAGGTATAAACACATCACTCATATGACGCGAAGTGAAAAAGGCTAGTTTCCTTTATACAGGCGGTTTTAAATTTGAATTATTATTATAACAAGTTTGAATTCTTGTTCTCTTCCATTTCGGTCCTCGCGCCAATTAATTATTTAAAAAATATCGAATAAAAATAATAAATTTTGTTTACTTTTGAATACGGTTTCAACAAGTGCGCTATAACAACACAGGTATAAATGATTGAAAGAAATATGTGTTGAGTCAAATCATATTTTTGTTAATGCGGTTCTTGCGTAGGTATAAACAAGGTATATGACACAGAATGCGATGCGAGCTTTTACTTGATAAAAACCTTGATCAAGTTTCTTTACAAATAATTTATCAAGAAAACACAATTGGGAGGTTATGTTACATTTACATTGGAGCCAAATACGTGATTTCAAATCAGTCATTTAATATTACATTTACATTGGACCAAAATGCGTGATTTGAAATCAGTCATTTGAAGGTGTTTACACTGCTTGATCCGCATTTGCTTTGACTTCTCATCAAATGAAAAGGGAAGACAAAAACAAAATGTATGTAAACAAACACTACATTTATTATATTGTTAACGCTTTTTGGACACAAAAAGGCAATTATTCTTTGATTAAACTAAAAATGTGTAAAGCTCTTGTATAAATTAACAATTTTTACACACAAATTTCAAAGATTTATTTATTTCGTTGTGTTTGTTTTGTGTTTGAAAAATTCCAAATGTCAAAGACAAACCAAAGCTTTTGTGGAACTTTTGTTTCTGAGTGCGTTCAATAAAATAGTACGGCAATTGGAACGCATTTGTTTCGTGATTTTGTGTAAATGCGTCGAAATGCGTCATTCTGGAAATGTGAATTTGTATGGAGAAATGCGTGGTTTGGCCTCGCATTTGAGGTTTCTCGCCCAAATGACGCATTTGGGCTCAATGTAAATGTAATATAAAGGCGTTTACACTGCTTGATTCGCATTTCGTTTGACTTCTCATCAACTGAAAACGGAAAATAAAAACAAAATAAATGTAAACAAACAATACACGCCTTATATTTTTGAACACGTTTTGGATACATAAGAGGCAATTATTCTTTGCATTAACTACAATTTTGCGAATTTATGCGTAAATTAACAATTTTTATACACAAATATCAAAGATTTTGAGTTTGTTTCGATTTGAAAAATTCAAAATGTCATAAACAAACAAAAGCTTTTGGAGAGCTTTTTTTTTGAGTTCATTTTGATTAAATGAGTTGACATGCCTCATTTTGGAAATGCGAATTAGTATAGAGATTTGATTTCGCATTTCAGACTTCTCGCCCAAATGACGCATTTGGGCTCAATGTAAATGTAATATTAGTGGTTTTAAATTGCTATAATGCAAGTACATATCGATGGCTGAGTGGAAGATCGACCTATCTCGGCAGCCAGTTCGAAAACGCTCTATCTCAAAAAACTTTTCAAGAACGCCTTATTTCAGAATTTAATTGAAAAACACCCTATCTCAAAATTCGGTTCAAAAACGCCCTATCTCACTTCAAAATGTATTGAAAATATGCTGATATAGGGCGTTTTTGAATCGGCAGCTGAGATAGGGCGTTTTTGAAACGAATTCTGAAATAAGGCGTTCTTGAAAAGTTTTTTGAGATAGAGCATTTTCG